CCCAGGTGAGAGCCGGAAGTGATAAATAACTCCTGGTTGGGGAGGGGGGCGCACCATCGCAGTGAGGCCCTCCCTGCCGCAGTGTGCCCACCCCAGCCCGATCGTGGCTCCCCAAACCAGGCCCCCTCACCAGACCTGGGAGGCAGGTAGGGGGTCTCTTAAGGCCCCAGGGAGCAGGTGGAGCAGTGGAGTCGGCCTGCACGGGGTTCTGAGGAACACGAGAACCCCTCCTCCACACACACGCACACATGCACACATGCACACGCACGCACACCAGCGTCCCTGGCACAGGTGTGGGAGGGAAGAGAGGAGTGGAGACACCTTAGAGAAAGTGAAATGCAAGCCACAAACTGGAGGAGACTTGTGACGTCTGCCACATGCAACTGACAAAGGATAAAGCATCAAAAATACGGAATGGACTTGTAAATCCATGGCGGAAATAACCAAGTAATCCAACAGAAAAATAAGATAAAAGACGTGAACAGGCCTTTTCACAGAAGCAGCAGCACATCCGTCCAATGAACATCTAAGGGATGCCCAGGCTTACTGGTGATGAGCACCATGCAAATGAAGACCACAATAAGATGCTGATTTACACAGTCTGAAGGGCAAAAATTAACGAGCCTGACAGCACCAAGTGTTGGAGAAGAGGTGGAGCCGCGGAATCTCCAGTGCATTGCTAGTCAGAGTGCAACTCCATACAACCACTGGGGAAAATAATCTGGTCTTATCTTATAAAGCTGAGGCCCAGCAGATCCCCTCTAGGCTTAAAATCAAGAGAAACTTGGGTATGTGCTCCGAGAGACAAGGAGAACATTCAAAGCTACACTCTTCTTAATAGCAAAAATCTAGAAAATAATCCAAATGCCTACTAACAAAAAGAATGGGTACATAAATTATAGAGGATTCTTTTCACACAGTGGCACATGGTCCATCAGTGCAAGCAAATGAACAGGCTTCACACAATATCATGAATGAACCTTAGAACCCATAGTATTAAGTGAAAAAGCCAGTCCCAGAAGACAAACACTTCCTATGAAGTTCAAAAC